ATCTTAACTATTGAATGACCCAATTTGACTATGACCTTTCGTAGTCAATTGTAATTGTCCCTGTTATCTTTATTCATAAATCTTTGTATTATTCGTATTATTATTCTTATTATTATTATTAATATTCGTATTATTGGTTAAACATCATTAATCTCCCTATACATGATTCATTCACTTCGCATTCATCCCTCCGTATTACGTCTTACTTATTTGATCGAATTGTAATTGCACTATTATTTCTCTCTCACCCTATTTGACCCATATTTATTCTGATCATGGATCTTAAAATTTTCATTTAACATATACGCAGATTCAAGTTAACATCTTATATGAGTCATATTAACATTAACAATTTTATTGTATTTTGTTTATCACAATCCTAAATTCACATGCTCTAAACGATGTACTTTACCCTTAACTTGGCCATTTTTCGGATTAATAATTTCTATATATAATTGTAGAACCTGAAGAGAATTTATCGAAAAGAATATTCTTCGTTCAAATATTAGTCTTTTCAAATTCTACTTAATTATTATTACGTAATCTACCTTATCATTATTCAATTCCATTAATCTCTCTAATTATCACACAATTTATGAACTCCACTAAACTATTACACCACCCAACCTGAATTAACCCCCTTTTTGACCTCTGACCCGTTTCTATATATATATATATATATATAGTTATCACTGTAATCCAGTTATTTACATTCATTTATGTCAATTGTTTCACACTATCTCCATGTAAAAAATTCTATCACAATTTTGGTTTGTAAGCACCTGACGAGAAACCTCGAAATAATATGAATTCATACTATTCTCCATCAATGTTTGTTCTTGCTCTATTGAAATTCATAAAGGGAACCAATTGCATGAAATAATTTTATAACTTGTGGCCTTGTGTCTTATTAATATATAACGTAATTTTACCGCCTATTAGAGAACAGTGATTCATCGACCGGACCATTGACGCATAAACCCGTACGATTAGTCTAGAGTCCTTATCGGTCCTTCTTTCTGTCTAGCCCAATGTATTGAGTCTAGGACACCAATCTTAGTCTCTGATATATGAGTCATGTATTTCAAACACACCAGCTTTATATACAAACCAAACAGACCACATCGTACCACAAAATGAAACATAACATTTGTACAAGATCTAGCCCAAAATGGCTGTGAATGTGGGAGACTGTAATTAATAGACTTGGTGTAACTTAAGAATGGTAAATCGCATCCTGATAGTCGATGGGTCAAAATAAAGCTTACAATAAGAAAAACATGAATATGCATAGTTTAGCCATATAGCAATTATATAATAAAAACACATGTATTGTACTATTCCATAAATAGTTCTCAAAAGTTATCATTCATAATTCTCGTTGGGATATAACAAATAATCATATTGATCACAAGTATTTACCTTCCCACTATTCTGTCAAATAAATCATCTTACTCAGCTGGATTTTTATAGTATATTGATCAAAAAACAATACTATTTACTCATATTATCGTGACCATCAAAAGTTGTTTACATCAGACAAAACTATTTCATGATACATGCAGACAGAGTATTAAACACAAATTTTTATTAGTAAATGGTTGGGAATATTCAAATTCTTTTTAGCAAGGCATCTACCGAGCTTCTGCTACTTGATACAGCCACACTGCTGGGACATATAAAAACGCTCTGGTACGGCCGAGAGTGGGGAGAGTCCGCTCTCCCTCTCGAGATGCTCTCATATATCCACGCGTATATAGTTTCTGCCAGAGAAGTCCTACTCAATGACTTCTCGCGCCACCGGTGTTGTTTACCAAATTGAAAGGAAAAAATGAATCTTTCGAGCTTTAGCCGGGTCAGTAGGCACGGTGAGTCTACCTAGGAGAGTTAGAAAACCCTGATTTCAAGCAAATGATGCACATGGGCTCCAGTATCCTGAAGCAACAAATGGCGTATGAACCGATCGTTGGTCACCGGCTACCATGAGACTGCATCTCCTTACAATGCTCCACTGCCTTGTGAACTAGACCTTCAGGTTGAAGGCTCCGGGTGTGGCTCCCTAAGAAAACCACCTGTTTCGGTTTGGGAAGCCGAGCAATGTGCCAGCCCTCACACAAATGAAATGAGATTTGTGTGGCGCATGTCTATTTGGTACCTCTTTTTACCAATATCTATGTGTTTAAATAAATAAGCAAATTGTGAAGAAAAACAGCTGAACATGAATGCAGTTCCAAAGAGAATCAATCTTTCACGATCGGTTTTGTATTAACCATAAACCGTATAACAAAGTCTTAAAATGAATTCATTATTGAGATTACTTTACAACGAAATATAACAGCGGAAACACTGGTTGCCGAGAGCCGAGGAGTTGGTTTATATCAGTTTAAAAATGACCAAATAATTTAAACTGAAACAGCCCGACTCCCTGTAGATCGGTTCTAATGTTTTTTTTAAACTATTTCATAACTTAAAAGGTCATAAAATCTATCGTCAAGGAATCTAATTGTGGATGACTAATTGAAATTTTAAAAGCGAAGGCTATTCATATCCATATAGTATGGAGAACTTTTGTCTGGAATTGATTTCAAAAACCATAGGATTGTTGACATGTGCAAAACATCACGTAGAGGCAGTCTGATGAAAGGAAATATAGAAAAGAAATATCAGAATTGTTTATTCATTCGGTTTCACTTTTACCGTATATTTGAATACCAATTAAATAAGTAAACAAGTACAAAGGGCATTGTTCCATAAGAGAGTATAAAACTTCATTTACTTTAAGAACAACGTTAACAGATACTGGGACGATCTCTTGGTTCACAGCATTATTTAAAGCTTCATCAAACAAATGGTGGGACCAAGTCCCATAGACATGTAGGAGAAAATGGCTGTGAAATACAATACTGATAAATAAGAAAAAACTTTGGTTTATTACAGCTCCTCTTTAGAAACAAATATATATATATCTATTAAAAACTGCTGAAGTTTTGTACTCTCAGTAAAAAACGTTCATATAACTTTCGTAACTTTAGGCGAAATCATGTGTTTGCATAAGCAACTGCTTTGAAGGCTAAGATAACAAGTTTAAACGCACACAACTGAATCATTACCGCTCACCAAGACACATCGACAGTTTGTCAATTTATTCTATTTGCATATTTTCAAACACATAAGACAAAATACTAGCATCAATAATTAACAAGCGAGAAAACGGGCGCTAAATGGGCTTTTTTCATTAAATGAATCAAAAGTCGTTTATAAGCAAACATCTCTATAAATTTTAGTAGTAAAATATATCAAGATCAGAATTTATGTACATAGATAATTCATAAGCAGCAAATCTACTTCGGCTAGTAAACTTTTTACCAATAGTCTAAATAGTAAATTACATTCTCAAACAGCCAGCAGTAAATCAAAGAGATATGATCAACCCAACTCAAAAGACAAAGAATTGTGGCATGGAAAAATGTTGAAAAATATAAACCACTGTAATTACATAAAATAATTTTAGTCACCGTAGGGTACCAAGAGGTATATCTCATATGAAGAAATAAGAGTATCGGTAAAAAGTATTCGACGGTAATCAATAAAGAAGTTTAGACAAAACATATCGTGTAATAAACTATAAAATTTCATGAAGAACACAACAAAGACAGATTTCATTCCATATGAATAAATATTTAAACCGTAAACGAGGATTCTAGTAGATTTTACATCGATCCATATTTGATACCCGATAGACACTTGCTACGATATACAACATCTGACTCCGAAAGTCGTTATAAGCCGACACATAGTACTTAAACAGATTATCGTCTATGTTTCTACCTCAAAGTCTGAATTCACAGTCTCCTTATTTTGCACATACATTTCGAGAGTAAACAAACAACGAGCAGTGTAAGAAACAAATCTCTCAACATTGGCGAAAGTATCACCATAACTGAAGACTAAAAATCCCACAATTTTCCCTGGTCTGAAGATTCCCTTTAGCTTTAACTCATTTTACGGAGACTCCCAAGACATTGAAGAGATTCAGGGGGCTCTTCTTAGTATTTCGCCGAAATCCCCTCGGACTTTGGAGAAAATGAATCAACCATGGTGAGAAATCCCACAAATTTTGGAGTATTTATGGGAAAATCCTAAAGTCCTTACTGTATCAAACGTCTCTTCCACCATTTACAATTAAAACCAAGTCCTTACGATACATTTGGACTGATGAAAAACCAGACACCTATATTTTTGGCTCGTGGATGTTGTTCTTTGAAAATAATATGCATGAAACGAAAAAACCTTTACCGACTTTGAAAACCTTTAAAATATACCTAAGCTTGAGAAACAGGGTCACTAGGATAACGTACGCGAAGCGTGACTATGGCAACAAAAACGGTTTTTTTATGGTGACGAAACTAGTGAACGTTGATTTTCACCGCACTAAACCCTTTTATTAAACCCGAGTATTACTTTCAAGGCATACAAGCCGTATCTAAATAAAGAGGAAACTGCAGAACAATATCAACCAACATATGCCAAATTTCATGAAAATAAATAGTTCTCGAAAAAACTTTATACATACATATGTACCCAACCATGAAACACACTACTCGTGTACTAGACTCATCTGATACAACACCACTGGCAGTCACATGGCTACTACATATTAGAAGTACCACGAAATAAAAATGCATTCTTTAAGGCGAGAACGCAAAGAAATTAGCTTTTCGTGAATCTACAGGAGCTATATTTGTTAGTACCGATGACGTACAGATGATAAACAGATTTGTTTACACATGAACCACATATGAATAAAAAATAAGTTCAGTCAACTCAAAATACTTACACTTTCAACATAATTAGCCGATAACTTTAAAAACGGAATAAAACCAAGAATGTTTAGAGGTACGGAGTTTCAATTTTATTTATTAATATATTTAAATGTATACGTATGCATTTTTAGAATGTGTGTATTATAATGCATGAAATAAAATGTATGTAAATCTTACTTTTTTCTGAGGATTCCTCATCTTGTATAATTTTGCAGTCAGTAGCGTTTTTGGAAAATAAAGCCCACATCCCATACAGAACAAACCAAAATAACCAAAAGTGTATGGCCGAGTGAAAACTGACTAGGATATTAAACTAAGCGCAAAATAGAGGATGAGGAACGTTGAAGTAACTATTCAAAACTGCTGAAAACGCTTACATCTAATTATTTGATTGTTAGGGTAAATCGTAAATATTTTTCTGCACACCAGTATAATTTACTGGCAATATTGGCTTGAGAATGCAAAACTATAAAATAAATATTTTGGGTATTGTTTTACCATCAATAGCATGTGATTAATGAGAAAATCTAAAAAAAGTAGTTAAATTTATAGTCTAGGAGTAAATAAAAGGGCAAAATAGGTATTTATGTAAGTCTTTGATAATGAAGCTGACGTCATTTGTTTTACTAGACACACTTGCTCCAGGGCTTAGTCACGCACCCGCACCGGATCACGGCTTGGCATTCTGTGCTTCAAATACCTCTCAGGCGCTAGTCAGCCCAGATCACGCGCTTACTGAAATAGGAACTACTTACTATTTGCATCTTCAAGTTCCTTCATTTCTAGCTTCTGGTTTGACTCTATACGGGATCCTCGAATGTAATGCTGTTATGAACGACAGCGTTGACAAACCATGAATATCCGCCATATCTTCAATGACGATATCACATTTGAACCGATTGTCCAGTACTGTCGGTATATCACTGGAATAATTGTTTACCTACTAGTACTTTTCATAATGTTTGTCTTATCTGTAAGGCGGACTACCCGTAATTAGTGTATTAGCTGGTGTGTCATCTTTTTATCAAGCATAATTCGCTTACAGGATTGCCAATAATTAAATGCACTAAATAAAAGTACACTGATTACTGTGAATAATAAACTTTCCATAGATTAAGAATTGTCAATCTTACAGCATTCTCAATGGGTTACTTGTCAGCTAACAATAATAGAAATATGATTATAATAAGCTGGAACTTAATAAATATGCAATAAGAATACACATAATAACAATCTATAAATTAGTCGTGGAAGTTAAACTTCCTTCAGTCTTCGCTCATGTGAGGCCAGTGAAATTTCATTGGGCCTTAGCCAAAACATCTAGCAGTCTGTCACTCAATATCGACCAGTACATCGATCCCCGTCAAGGTCAAAGACAACCGACGCGCATCAATTAATCGCATGCCATAGACTGGCCTATACGGTGGCGGTTACAATCTCTTCCTTGTACCTACTAATATACTTCAGTAAGGACGTCCTTTGTGTTATACAGTCTTTAAAGCAGCTACAGTACCGTGGCACAACTAAAAGGGTGATCCACGTTGGGAGCTGGCCACGAGATGCGACCCAGCTGGTTCGTCACACCGCTCCTGTCTAACACCAGGAGCCCCCCAATCACTCGACACAGATCGTCTACGTTAATGATGTACATTCGTAAATAACAGGCGCTTACTCCGTTTAGCTCGTGCGCTACCATAATATGTAGTGAAAGCGTGTATACGACATTCAAACAATAGCCTTCTTCCCATCGAATTAGCATTACTAACGTTATACACAATTATGTATAATACCAAGAATACACCTTGTGATGCATTTTGGACGTTTGATTTCTTCGTGGTACTAAATACACGTCGACATTTCCATCTGAATTTATGGTGTCTGAGATTTGGTTTTGATCCAATGTATGACTTCTTCACACTACATTTTTGTTGTCACTGACTAGTATGTAATCCATGAATTTTCACCAGAGCTTTCCCACAAAAAATGCAGGAGATATGCATCATACTTAAGGAAATCTAATAATTTGTCGTAAGTCTTGCGTTGAATGATGTCAGTATTCTTTTAGGTGTGTTGGTAGGGAGAATGCTTTCCTGAAAATAACTAATATACGAGATCGTAAATATTATCATACTTTTGCTTATACTTATTACGAGGTTAAGCTACGGTGTTTAAATAAGTTTGATACAGTCAGCCATTCGGCTTGCGCCCAGAAGATAGGAGACACGACAATGAACCTATATGTTTGATATCAATGGGCAGAAATTCAGACAGCAACCATTTATCGAACAGAAATACTGAACAATTGATTATCGACAAGCAGAGTTCGTCAAAAGAATTACAACTGACTTCAGTTACTCGAGCTCCCGAAAACCTTTGATGACTAGGACAAATAATTTTGATGTTTCCGTCTTCATGAATTCTACTTATTTAACCACAGAAGTTGAATGAGGGTTAAATCAGGAAAACATCAATGTAATAAATTAAGTCTCAGTATTAATAATGTATCAACTTCGTTGACATCGTAAAAATACAACACGCACGCAGTCAGAAACCATAATCAAGAACTGAACACAGTATGAAATCTTTCACCTGTGGAAAATACTCCGTAAATTAGTAGATCGCAACAAGCCTCAGATAATGAGCCTCAACAAGGAAAAAGACCAGGTACAAAAAAACATACCATAGAGCAATAGATTAGTACCCGAAGGCCAATAAGAACGTTCCACACAAAATGAGATCGAGTGATGAGACTATAATTTATGCTTGATCCAATGAAATTAATGATCGCAAGTTTTGTACTTTAGTGAGAAATTTATTCATCCACATGACTAATTAGCACCATGGCTTTATAGCTGATGTCAGTTCGTGATGAGAATTCTACCGTCGGACTAGTAAGAAACGCGCTTCAGTGTTACTAATGCACAGTTTACTCGTAAGGAACTTCTGTCATGGTTAGTGCAAGACTTCAGATCACAGGGTACGAACGTTAATAGATCATTTTACAACTCGTGATGCTTAAGTTGTACTTGTAGACTTCAGCGTGTTTCAGATGGATACCTTTACACGCCAAAGTGTTTAACGTGGGTCCGTTGTTAACTTTTCTGCTTTAAAGTAGAGTCAGGTCCTACTGGAGTATCGGCTTGCCATCTTGATGATAAAATTTCTTCCAAAGTTCGACATCGTCTGTGAAATATGATGGCTTTGAAGATACTTGCAGATGAAAGTCACCTGTATAAATTAGGAAAATAAAATGTCCTGACAGTGAATACTAAGGAACCCCACCAGGACGTTCTGCAGCCTGAAAAAAGTAAGGTTTACCCTAATCTTAAAACGTCTATCTTCTAGGCATGAAGCAAACAAACTAATTAATGGTGACTTGATAACTAACCGTTTGAGCTTATTGATAAAATATATATGGTTGACCCTATCATAAGCTTTTGAGAAGTCAAGGTATATGACACCACCCTACCACTTGAGACCAAGGATGATTGTCGATCTGTCCACTGCGGTCAGTAGGTTGGCTATACAAGAGTTATCTTTTTTTAAACGCTGCTGTTGGGGTTAAAAGAAATGTATGAATAGTAAGTAATCGTGCAGACCGTCGCATATCAGAGACTTCACAATTTTTGAGGGTATATAGAGAAGTGCTCCTGGTTGGTGGCATGAAGATTCGCTGCGTCGATCTTCTTTGAGAGTTGGTGTGGTGTGAACCAGTTTCCGATTTTCTGGTTTCATGCCTTGGATTAGAGAATGTGAGAGCATAATGCTAGGCGGTGTTGGTAAGATTGGAGCTCCTTCCCTCAGTAATTCGGAATGAACGATATCCGAGCCAGGAGAGGTGTATTTTTTATGTGCTGCATTTTCCGGTACACCAAGTCGGTTCTGCCAGAAGGTCGACTGACTCACCGTCGTTGTCGGTTGAACCATCAGGACCTAGCAGTTGGGAAACGGCGGTTTTCATTTGTCCAAGAGATGCTGAATGACAGAATAAACTTTTTGAGTGAGGGATAAAGCTACCGAGTAGCTCTAGATGGTACTGAAATCTGTCCTCTCTTATAGCCTTTGTCTATTCGTTCCTTGCTTGTTTGAACTGCCTATATTTGCTGTTGTCACCAGTTCGTTTATATTCCTCATGATAGTGTTCTATACTTCAGGGCAGTCAAAGAGTGAAATTCTTGATGACCGTACATCGCTTGCAATATTTTGGGACTGAGTGAGAGACAGACTGTCTTGTGGTGCTTAAGATCGTGTGCAGTAAGAAATCTCAATGAGCATCCACATCAAGTTGAGGGTTGACTTTACGGTTCACCTGCTTCAGATTGATTTGTAAAGCTGACATATCCAACTGTTTGCAATTTAAAGGCCTATTGATAGTAGCATGTTTTAGCTCAATTTCACTGATAAAAGTGAAGGCCTTGACGTCATAATCATTTTAACTCTGAGGAGCCAGTATTGAATTGTTGTCACTTTAGTAACCTTTCTTCGTAAAAATGCACTCTAAGCATGACGGCTTCTGACCATTTCTCCGGAGAGTTGCTTACACTACATTTTCGAATAGTCTCATATCTTCACTAAGATTTAAAGACCGAACATCAACTTCAATGTACATGTGTCCAGCCAAATCGACTATAAAAAGATTGAAGTCTCCGCGAATTAGGACATGATTATATCCAATACGAATAGAGCGAGACAATCTTTCCAGCATACGATTGCCTTACGCGGTGTCAGCTGTGGGCTTCTTGTGGATGACTCCAAATGAACACCTTGGGGAGTTAGATAACCTTACTGAGCACCGTACAGATTTATCAAATTTGGTTAAATCTTGGGTATACGCTTGATGTGCTGCCAAGCAGGATCGTAGTTGCTTAATAAAAACATTCCGAGTGTTTCAAGCACCTGGTCCGTAATTAGAGGAGTTGCCCATGTTTCGGACATTTCTAGCACATGATTATTTTGTTCTAAGTTTATCCGTACACTTTACCCTCTAGAGAAAAAGACCTATCAAGTCCTCTATAATTATAAACGATCCCACATTGGTATGTGGTAATTATTAGTTGAGATTAATATGCTAAGTGATGATCTATACTATTTGGATTATTTGAATTATAGCACGAACTAAGAGTCTCAGAATTAACGCAATTGAATTAAGAAGAATCAACCACAAGCGAATGTATTGTATTTGGAATTCGAAATCGAGCATTCAACAAGTACAAAGGTATTATTAGTTCGTTCAAACACTACATCCGCCACAGCTTAAATACAAGTATAAGGGTTTGTAATCGGTTGTACGTCTTCTTGTTAAGTTCATCCTGAGTCTGTCCGACATTGTATAGGATAAAAACTTTGTAGTATCTGGAATTGTATACAACCAGCATGTCGGTTTTGTAATGACATCATTAATATCTAGAATTCGAACCATAGATTTTTCAACACTATCCTCCCCCACGAAATAATGTTGGATCTTTATATCCCCAAGTTATGAATAATGTGGCTTCATTTAAAACATATTTCTCACATTGTTTAGAGTAAACATTAGAACTGTTT